GGATTCGGTTCCTGCTAAGGGCACATACCTTGTTGCAGTTTGTCCCGAGCCTTGATTGGGGTCGTGTGTCTCTCTCATGTCGATGTTTCTCTCTCTCTTGTTCTCCCTTTCTTTCTCCCACAATATCTGAAAAAATGCAAAAATGTCCTCTGGTGAAGATAAAAAACAAAAGAGAGAGAGATAAAGAAGGCCACTGCATAATATTCAAAGGATCTATCCAACAGGAGGATATAACCTTGGTAAACATATATGAACCCAATATAGGAGCACCAAAATATATTTTAAAACTTCCAGAGAACTTCAAAGGAGAAAGCAACAATAATACAATCATAGAAGGAGATTTCAACAACCTACTAACATCACTGAATAGATTTTTCTAGACAAAAAATCAACAAGGAAACAGATACTCTAAATAATGTACTATATTAAATTAATTTAATAGATATCTACAGAGAATTACACCCCAAGCTGCAGAATTCACATTCTCCTTAAGTGCACATGGGACATTCTCAAAGATAGACCACATGTTAGGACACAAACTAAGTCTCTACAAGTTCAAGAAGATTGAATATCATAACAAGCATCTTCTCAGATCACAATGGCATTGAACTAGAAATTAATTACAATAAAAACATTCAAAAACATTCACACACATGGAGGCTAAATAGCATGTTATTAAACAGTGAATGGGTTACCAAGGAGATCAAGGAAGAAATAAAAATCTCTTGGAAGCCAATGAAAATGAACACACAACAACACAAAATCTATGGGACCTAGTGAAAGCAGTCTTGAGAGGGAAGTTCATAGCACTAAAGGCCTACCTTAAGAAATAAGAAATATTTCTAATTGACTATCTAACCCTATAACTTAAAGAACTAGAAAGTAAACAAAAAGAAAAACCCGAGCAAGTAAAAGGGAAAAAATAGTAAAGGTCAGAGTGGAAATAAACAACATAGAGATTAAAAAATCAAAAGATCAATGAAACAAAGAGCTGGTTCTTTGAAAAGATAAACAACATTGATGAACTTTAACCAGACTCACCAAGAAACAAAGAGAGAGGACCAAAATAAACAAAATCAGAAATGAAAGAGGAGAACTAAGAACACCACAGAAATACAAAAGATTGTTTAAAAATACTATGAACAATTATATGCCAACAAATTGGACAACCTAGGCAAAATGGACAAATTTTTACTATCACAGTCTCCCAAACTGACCGGAAAGAGACAGAAAACTTGATCAGAACAATAACAACTAAGGAAATTGAAGATGTAACCAGTAACTCCCAACAAACAAAAGCCTGAGCCCAGATGGCTTCACAGGGGAGTTTTACTGAACATTCAGAGAAGAACTAACACCCATTCCACCCAAACTATTCCCAAAAATTCAAGAAGGAAGACTTCCAAACTCTTATTATAAGACCAGCATAATCCTAATTCCATAACCAGCTAAAGATACTACAAAGAAAGAAAACTACAGGTCATTGTCCCTGATGAACATAGATGCCAAAATCCCCAACAAAATATTAGCAAATCGGATCCAGCAATACATTAAAATAATTATTCACCATGACCAAGTGGGATTTATTCCAGGGAGTCAAGACTGGTACAATATTCTCAAATCAATAAATGTCATACACCACATAAACAAAATGAAGGATTAAAACCATATGATCATATCAATTGATGCTGAAAAAGCATTTAATACAATTCATCACTTATTTCTGATAAAAACGCTCAGCAAAGTGGGAATAGAGGGATCATATCTCAACATAATAAAGGCCATATATGGAAAGCCTACAGCCAGCATCATATGCAATTTGAAAAAACTGAAAGCATTTCCCTTAAGAACAGGAACAAGACAGGGATGCCCACTTTCACCACTCTTATTTAACATAATACTGGAAGGCCTAGCCACAGCAATTAGACAGGAAGAAAAAAATAAAAGGAATACAAATCAGAAGAGAGAAAGTAAAACTGTCATTATTCAAAGATGACATGACCTTTGTACATAGAAAACCCTAAAGACTCCATCAAATATTTACTAGATTTAATAAATGAATTTGGCAAAGTAGCAGGATGCAAAATTAACATCCAGAAATTGATGGCATTCTTATACACCAATAATGAACACTCAGCAAAGAAAACTAAAAGAACAATCTCATTTACCATTGTAAGAAAAAACAGATAAATGCCTAGGAAGAAACTTAACCAAACTGAAAAGACCTGTGCTCAGAAAACTACAGGACATTGAAAAAAGAAATAGAGGAAAATGTGAAAAAGTGGAAACATATACCATGTTCATGGATTGGAAGAATCAATATCATTAAAATATCAAAGCAACCTATAGATTCAATATAATCCCTATTAAAGTACCAATGGCATATTTTACAGATCTAGAAAAAATACTCCAAAAGTTATGTGAAACCATAAAACACCCAGACAGCCACAGCAATCTTGAAAAAGAAGAAAGTGGGAAGGAGCACAGTACCGAATGTCAGGTTATACTTCAATGTTATCGTAATCAAAACAGTGTGGTACTGGCACAAGAACAGTCACATAGATCAATGGAACAGAGCAGAGAACTCAGATATCGACCCAAGACAGTGTGCACAATTAATATTCGACAAAGGAGGCAAGAGCATACATTGGAGAAAAGATAGTCTCTTCAATAAATGGTGTTAGGAAAATTAGACAGTTACATGCAAAAAAAAAAAAAAATGAAACTAGACCACCAACTTACACCATACACAAGAATAAACTTAAAATGGATAAAAGACTTAATGTAACTCATGAAACCATAAAAATCCTAGGAGAAAATGTGGGCAGAAAAATCTCAGACATTATATGTAGCAGAATTTTCACTGATACATCACCTAGGGCAAGAGACACAAAGGACAAAAATTAATAAATTGGACTACATCAAACTAAAAATCTTCTGCATGGCAACAGAAACCAGCATCACAATGAAAAAGGAACCCACTCTCTGGGAGAACATATTTGCAACTGATATATCAGATAAGGGGTTAATCTCCAAAATGTATAGAGTACTTATATTGCTCAACAAAAGGAAGACAAACAATCCAATTAAGAAATAGACACTTCTCCAAACAGGACATAAAAATGGCCAGGAGACATATGAAAAAATGCTCAACATCATTAATAATCAGAGAGATGCAAATTAAACTGACTATGAGATATCACCTCACACTTTCTAGAAAGGCAGTCATCAACAAATCCTCAAGCAAGAAGTGCCGGTGAGGATGTGGAGAAAAGAGTACTCTAGCACACTGCTGGTGGGAATGCAAACTGGTGCAGCCACTATTGAAAACAATATGATGTGTCCTCAAAAAATTAAAAATAGAACTGCCATTTGACCCAGTGATCCCACTTCTTGGAATATATCCTAAGACACCTGAAACACCAATCAGGAAGAATATATGCACCCCTATCTATGTTCATAGCAGTGCTATCTACAATAGCTAAGACCTGGAAACAGCCTAACTGCTGGTGATTGGGTATATCCTTCTGTTGTTTGTAAACTTGGAAGGAAAGCATTCAGTCTTTAGTATGATGTCACCTATAGATTTCTCATAGGTGGCATTTACCAGTTTGAGGAAGTTTCCTTTATTCTTAATTTTGTAAAAGTTTATTTTTTAAATCAGGAATGGACACTTTCTATATCTAGTAAAATGATCATTGAGTTTTTCTTTTTTAGTTTGTTAATATGGTGAATTACATAGACTTTGAATGTTAAACCAAGTGTGCATTACTGGGGTAATCGTACATGGTCAGGATATGTTATATTTATGGATTTGGTTTACTAAAAAATTTATTGATAATTTTTGCATTTCTGTTATGAGGGATATATCTGGAAGTTTCTTTCCTTCTAGTGACTTCTTGTCTAGTTTTGGTATCTGGGTAATGCTGGCCTCTTAGAATTAGATACTTAGAATCCCCTCCTTTTCAATTTGTGCATAATTGGTATTATATCTTCCTTAAATATTTAGTAGAACAAAAGAAACCATCTGGGCCCATAGTTTTCTTTGAGGGAAGACTTTTAACTAAAAATTTAATGTATTTTAAAAATAGTGCTCACTTCTGGAGTGAATTTTACTCAACCTGGCTGGAAGCAGAAATCATGCCTTTTAATTTTGTCTAATTTTCTATTTAAAAAATTTTTTTTAATTTTAAATAGAAAAATACATCAGTTTCTACCTTAATAGCTTCTGTATTTGGAGTCATGCTTAGAAACACTTCAACGAAGTCTTATAAAAATATTTACCTATATTTTTTCAAGAACTTTGTCTTATTTTTATATTCAAATCATTTATTAATATGGAACCCCATATTGTAGGTAATTTTAAAAATAGCTAAAATGGAGGGGGAAGACATCTGCATTTTCATTACCAAACACAATGTCAATATACATATGAACATATTTCCTATCATGAGTTTTACTATGCCTTTGTTTCTTTATATAGTTATAATCCTAGTGTTTATATCATTTAGTATATCCATCTAATGCATTATATCATCAAAATTTTCATGTTGCTACATAATCCTCATAATCACATTTTAATGACTAAATTTCATTTCATCAAATATTGCAATTATGCTTCTTTTACCTGTATTGTTAAACATTTTAGTTATTTCTCTTTAACACAATTTATGAAACAATTATCAGGCAGGGCTTTTTCAGGGAAACCTTCACTCTGCCTATTTGCACATTTCCTTGTCTTTATGAAGGCAGAGATGCAGATACGATCCTTCTCTCCATTTGGCTTTGCTTCTCTCTCCAGGCCCACACCAGTACATTCAGTAAAATCATGTCTGTTTAAAAATGAGAATGAAATAAAAACATCAGTTTCTTAACAGTTTATTTCATTTCTTATTTATATAGTTATAAATAGACTTTTAAAAGCTTATAATTTATAATTTTGTATGTATGAGATGTAATTTTGTCATCTCAATTATTTTCTAATTATTATTTGTGCTTAGTTATTTTTAGGGAAAGAATTCTTCAGTACCACCAAAGATCAAGCTAAGGTAAGCCATGCTTAAGAAAATGGTAATATATATGTTATAGTTTTGTTTTGTTTTGTTTTTTGTGGTTTTTGTTTTATTAATCCTTACCTGAGGATATGTTTATTGATTTGAGAAAGAGGAATGGAGAGAGAGAGAAACATTGACTGGTCTGCCTACCATACATGCCCCGACTGGGGCTTTTGCGATTGAACCTGCAACCTTTGGTACAAGGGATGATGCTCCAACCAACTGAACCACCCAGCCAGAGCTGTTACAGTTTTCTTTTTTAACTCATCTTTATTGTTGAATATATTACAGTTGCTCCCCACTTTTTCCCCATTGATGCCCCCATCCCTAATTCTACCCCCCTCCTGCCTTCCCTACACTATTGTCAGTGTCTATTGGTTATACATATATGCATAGAAGTTCTTTGGTTTATCTCATCCCACCCCCCTTCTCTTTGAGGTTCATCAGTTTAACCACCAACTTGTATTTCTTAATTCCTTCATATTTTTTCCCATCCCCCTAGCCCCCACCCAGCTGGCAAGTGACAAAAAGTTCTCTGTATCTATGAGTCTGTTTCTATTCTGCTTGTTCATTTTTTTTGTAGATTCGATTGTTGATTGATACACATTAACTGCCATTTTATTGTTCATATTTTTGTTGTTGTTCTCCTTCAAGAACACTATTCAACATTCCATATAATACTGGTTTGGTGGTGATGAATTCCTTCAGCTTTTTCGTGTCTGGGAAACTCTTGATATGTCCATCAATTCTAAATGATAGTTTTGCATGATAATGTAATCTTGGTTGTAGGTTGTTGCTCTTCATCACCTTGAATATCTCTTGCCATCCCTTTCTGGCCTGCAAAGTTTCTTTTGAAAAATGAGCTTACAGTCTTGTGGGAACTCCTTTGTAGGTAACAAACTGCTTTTCTCTTGCTGCTCTTAAGATTCTCTCTTTGTCTTTAACCTTTTGCATTTTGATGATGATGTGTCTCGGTGTGGACCTCTTTGGGTTCATCTTGTTTGGGACTCTGTGCTTCCTGGACTGTGTGTTTGTTTCCTTCACCAAGTTAGGAAAGTTTTCTGTCATTATTATTTCAAATAGGTTTTCAATTCCTTGCTTTCTCTCTTCTCCTTCTGGCACCCCTATGATGTGAATGTTGGTACGCTAGAAGTTGTCCCAGAGGCTCCTTACACTATCCTCATTTTTGGGGATTGTTTTTTCTTGTTGCTGTTCTGATTGGGTGTTTTTTGCTTCCTTGTATTCCATATTGATGGTTTGCTCCTTGGCTTCACCTACTCTACTATTGATCCCCTATAAATTATTCTTTATTTCAGTTAGTGTATCCCTCATTTCTGACTGGTCCTTTTTGATGATGATGTTGTTCTCACTAAGTTTCTTCGAGGTCTCCCTAAGTTCCTTGAAGGTCTCACTAAGTTCCTTGAATGTGTCAGTAAGTTCCTGGAGCAACCTTATAACCTGTGTTTTGAACTCCGCATCTGTTAGATTACTTATCTCCATTTTGTTCTCTTCCTGGAGTTTTGTTCTTTTCTTTTATTTGGGACGTTTCTTTGTCTCCTCATTTTGGCTGCGTCCCTGTGATTGTTTCTATGTATTAGGTACAGTTGCCATGTCTCCTATGCTTTGTATGGTGACCTGTTGTTGTAGGTATTCTGTAGGATCCATTGGCACAGCCTCCCTGATAACCCCAGCTGGGCCCTCGAGTTGCACCCCTAGTGTGGACTGTACACCCTTCTGTTGTAATTGAGTCTTGATTGCTGTTGGCACATCAATGGAAGGGATTTACTCAGGCTGATCAGCTGCAAGGACTGGCTGTGCCCACTGACCATTGGCCTCTGACTCCCTTGGGGGATCAGCATTGTAGGGGCCCAATACATAGAGCAAGCCTTACTTCATCAGGGCTCTGGTACCCACTGAGTCTACTCCTTGAGTGTGTCACTTGTGAAGGTGGTTGGTTGGTGGTGTTTTGATGTGGTCTGAAGCTGTCCACTGGATGTGCTGGCTCTGAGGAAAGGTCAGACACTGCCTGTGTTCTACCTGGGGCCACCTGGCATAAGCTACAAAGTGATCTTCAGATGGCTGCTTTTTGTGCTGGGCTTAGAGTTACACAGGCAAAGCCAAGCTGTAAACCAAGGTTGGCTGCTTCTAGTGCCAGATCTGGGGCCACTTAATGAGAGGTAGGGGCTCGCTGAAACCCGATGCTGCTTTTTGAGAGATTTTAGGACTCTAAAGTAGGATGTAAGACAGGCCAATCCTATGGTAAAGCCTTTGGAAACAGCTTGGGTGGGCCTGAAAATTGGGTGGGGCAGGGCCTCAGGGAATCACCAAGGTGGGGCAAACAGTATGAACCAGGTTTCTGGATTGGCAGATATGGTACCCATCTGCTGCCTCGAGGAAGGTCTCACCAAAGCAACAAAGGCCTCCGCCAGTACGTCTGTCTGAGAGAAAACTGCTTCTTTAGCCCTCGTCCCGAGGCCAAACAGCTCAGTTCTTCCCTGTATCTCTCTGGTGGCTTTTAAGCTGCCTCCCCTCTGAGCTTAGAGGGAGCAAGTCCTAGTAAGTGTGTGTGCAAGCTCTTTAAGAGGAGCTTCCTGGGGCTCCAGCAGCCTCAGCCTCCCTCAGCCTTAGTTCCCTCTGGTTTTTCCAGCCAGAAATTATGGGGACTTCTCTTCCTGGCACTGGAACCCTGAGCTGGGGGCCTGGTGTGGGATGGAGACCCCTCATTCCTCAGGGAGGACCTTCCCAGCCAAGGTGTCTCTCCTGATTTTTATCCGATACATGTGGGTCTGGGACCAGCCCATCCACGCCTCTGCCCCTCCTACCAGTCTCCATGTGGCTGCTTCTTTAATTTTGTAGTTGTAGGACTTCCATTCAGCTTTATTTCAGGAGGTTCTGAATGATGGTTGTGCTGTAGTTTAGTTGTGATTTTGATGTTGTTGTGGGAGGAGGCGACACCACATTTACCTATGCCATCATCTTGACCAGAAGTCCCCGACTGCTACAGTTTTAATTGTTACATTTCATGTCACTGTCCTCTAACTATAGGTGACTTATTTCCTGGAACTAAGAACAAAAGTTTTAATATATATGAAAGTTATTTCCTTTGATAGATTACTAGAGTTTATGTGCATTCCTGCGTTCCAGGACATTTCTCCTTTACTGAGAGCTGCTTGATAACAGGGCCATCTCATTCCACACAAAACTCACAGAGGTCAACCTATTAGCTGGCACTAACAACTATCAAATGAAATTACAGAGGACTGGCTTTAGTGAAGCAGAATAATGTGTTTTAGTGAGAAAATATATACATTTATATAATTCATACACACACATGCACACACAGGCACACACATGCATGGAGAGAGAGAGAGAGGGGATGTTTGCTTACACATTTATTTGACCTATTTCTTCCCATACTCATTGATAAAGAAGCATAAGAAAAACCACTTCCCTTCATATAATTTTTAAAAAGAAAAATCATGATTTAACAGGAGCTCCTGGAACTTTCTGAAAATCAGTTTACAGGTGGAGATACAGCCCTTTCTGAATAAAAAATAATAAATTTTTCTCACAGTATAGGTGAACTCTAACTTTTAGGAGGAATTAAAGTCTTTCCCCTGCCTCTAAGTATTATCTTCCACACAGAAAGACAATGTCTTCACTGATGAAATATTGGGTTTTCTTGAAAGAATATGTAACTTTTAGTGAATGGAGTGCATTTGCTATGAAGAATCCTTTCTGGGTGATTAAACTCTTTGATCTTTCTACCAAGATTAAAAGGTAATATCATAACTATTAAGAGCATGGACTCTGGGTTTGAAATTCAATTGCACCACTAAATTGCATAATCTTAGGTACATCACTTGACCTAAACTATCTCACCTACAAATCTATAAAATGAAGATAATAAGTCCTATCCTACAGGTTATATGGACATTAAAGGAGTAAATATATGCAAATCACCCAGCATATTGCTAATTGTATAATAGACACCTATAAGATGATGGTGGCTATTGTTCTTAATGGTTCTAACTAATATCTGGTCTCGTTCTGTGTGTGAAGGCTGAGGTAATGAGATGGACACATTTGCCTCCTGCTTGGAATGCCTGTTGGCTTTATAAGGCCAAGCATGATCCAAGGGGACCCATGGGAAATAAACACAGAGCAGCCCCTCTGGCTTGGTTCCTATCCAGACATTTGGCCAAAGGGAGAGTAAGAGATTTTGAGATACATACAAGATCCAACCCGAACACTAGGGCAAGAAAGGCCATGAGAATGACAGCGTAGGACAGTAAACCCTATCCAGAAATAAAATGTTTGCATTTCCTGTGAGTGTATTCTGGTATATATTTTTGGAAGATTCCTGCAGTGCTAGGTAATGCATCAAGGGTTTGAAAGTTCAGCGTTCTAGCTGATATACCTTCTTCATCTAGCAAGTAAGGAGAGGTGTGACTGCTTAAAAGAAAGAGTATTGGTGCCCTGGCCAGTTTGGCTCAGCTGTTGGAGCATTGGCCTGCAGACCAGAGAGTCCTGGGTTCGGTTCCCGCTAGGGGCATGTACCAGAAAAAAAAGAGAAAGAGTATTGGAACAAATGACAGGAAAATTGGGCTTCTGCCCCAGATCTGCCTCCAATCAGACATGGAACCTCAGACAAATTATTTTGCTCCTATGCCTCAGGTTCCCTATTAGTAAAGCAAATATTACTAGACACTTTTTTTCAGCCCTGAAAGGTCATGAGTCGGTGTGAGTAACTAAACAATGAGCTGCTTGGTTTCTGGCTACTACAGGGAAGTAACAAAAGCATGTCACCACTCATACTTCTTGCCTACTTTGCTTCTCATCAAGGTTGATTTTGTTTTGTTTTTGTGTCTACCTCTTTGAGCTGTTACATAAACTTAGTTATCTCCATTGACTTGGCCAGAATATAAGACACTTTCAAGTCTAGCAAGGATTCATTAGCTCTACTAAATTTTTCATCACTCATTTCTGGTACAAAGGATATTTAAGCTCCAAATCCAGAATTAGACAGAAAAAGAAATATAATAGCTAAAAGAGCTAAATTAGTCAAGTGCCTTCAGAGTTACAGTCACTCTACCTCCAACTTTACAACCTTTGTTTTATTTAATCTTAATGATAAGTTAGCTATATTCAGATATTGGAGGTTCAAGTATTTTTACCAAGATTGCCAACTGTTAAGTGACTGAGTTAAGATTTAAAAACTCATTCTTTGTCCTGTGTCATACTGTAAATTTATAGAGAATATTTATAATCTATTTTTAGAACATTTCCCTTTTTCTTCTCTGATCAAACATATTATGGATGCTTAATTACATATATGAATATTTAAAACTATTTTAAACCAAGATAGGTAGAAATTAGAATTTATATCATGGGAAATTATATCAGTAAAGAAAAACAGTATAGTACATATGAAGGCTAAGGATTGCCCAATTATTCATTAATTTACTCATTTATCTGTTCAAATGCTTTCTCTGTGGCATTTTTAACAAAGAAAACTACCAGATTTAAAAATTATGATTTTGTTTATATTTCTGTCATCAAATATAAATATTTATGCAAGATGAGAAGTTTGCTGGGTTCATGTCGTTTATTAATTAAATGCTGAGTTATTTATTTGAAAAACCATTAATGACTATAAATTATGGTACTTTTGAATTTCAGACCTGTAAATATGGACACATAGCACACACATTAATGTATGACATTCAGGTAGGACATCACCAGCAGAATTGCAGGGCTTAAGAAAATCCACTGCTTCACATACTGTCTCCTAATAAAACATCATATTGTAGAAGCAGATTGAATGATCATCAAGGAAATACTTACCCCGAGCTATATCAGATGCTATGAGGGATCCAGAGGCAAATCATACAGAGCTTGTGCTTCTACAAACACAGAATTCTATCAGAACAGCAGACATGTATATAATTAACTAGAATAAAGCATAACAAATGCTGTATTAGAAGATGAGTGTGACAGTTTGAGAACCTGGAAGAAGGGACAATTGGTTAAGCCAGAATTTTGAGGCTGATAAGAAGACAACGCAGCAGAGAAGAGATGACATTTGCTCAGTACATTAACACTGAGTTCAAGCAAGTGGAATTTAGAAGTCAAGGGATGTGAATTTGAAACTAGGAAAGAACTAGAGGAAACAATTAGAAATTCTAGTGCCTTCTATTTAAATGTTTTCTAATTTGGGATAAAGACATTTAATGTTATAATATCACTCTAATAAAAATTTATACTATATTAAAAGCTTTCCATTATAATTTAGTGTCATTATTATTTCTTTCTGTGTGGAAGTATTTCTTATAGACTCTTCATTAGACTTATTTTGTTAGTTTTCTTTTATGCATTCAGAATTTGGGGACAGGATTTGTGGTTTTCTCATAACTTTCCTATTTTTATTTGACATTTTCAAATGATAAGCTAATAGAAATGTAAGGGGTGGGTATTTTGTGTTGGAAAATAAATTGTAACAAGTGATAAGCCATGTTTTGGAGGAAAAAATTGGTATGAAAATAACATGATAAGGCCAACTACGGTTGTAACTTCCACTTTAAATTTGTTGAAGGAAACACAAAACCACCACAGTGATTGAAAATGCAAATGAATTTATTTACTTGACACATAAGGAAACACACAAGTGAGCAACTTTGCCAAATGCTTCTCTGACAGGAACGATTTGTTTTTTATGTGCTAGAAAGATGTTCACTGTGGCTATGCTAACTGAGGACTGAAGTTTGCACCTTGGAGAAAGCAGGATGAATTTCAAGTCCTCACATAGTTGGCTAAAACAGGTCCCTTTCTTCATTGTCAAGAACAAGGTTGCATTTTGATCCAGGGTGAGTCTGTTTTACTGGAATCATTCAAAATTCTTTGTCATTTGCCAGTTTCACAATTCAGTTTTGCCATTTCCTAGGCAACTCTGTGGAAGGGAGAAAGGTCTTCTTATACAGGTCTTCTAACACTTCTCAGCTCTGTCATAACACTTGTATTGTTTAAACATAGTTTTCAAATTGGGAGTGCTATTTTTATTGAATGAAGTAATAATAAATGGGTGTCAGAAGATAGCAAGACATTGTTCTTTTTTTTTTTTTTTTTTTATCCTCACCCAAGGATATGTTTTTATTAATTTTAAGAAGGAGAGTGAGAGAGAGAAAGAAACATCGATGTGAGAAAAACACTTTGATCAGTTGACTCTCATATGCGCCTAGACTGAGGATCAAACCCCACAACCTAGATATGTGCCCTGACCAGGAATCGAATGTTTCAACCATCTGAGCCACCCAGCCAGGGCAAGACACAGTGTTCTTAATGAGCCCTTTCAGAATCATTACAGGTAGCTAAATATGCACTCACTGTACAACTCCTTCTAATTTTCAAAACCTGCACATAATTTAACTGTGAAGCCATAGCCATTAATTACTATCATGTGAATTCAGATTTGGATTAAAAAAAAAAAACCTGGATTTTCTGACTTAAGAAAATGCTTTTCAAATAATTATGGCAGAGCCTAAAAAATATATTCTTATGTCTTATAGACATAAAAATATATATTATATCTTATATACATAAACATTTTGGTATTAATGAATATAGATAGCATTTTGGAACTCAAATAAGGAACATTTGTCATAGCTGGTTAATTGAATTTTTTTAAGTTTAGAAAAATGATCGTACTTATTTTAGACTCTTAGTATCAGTTGAATTCTTTATAATATTCTTGATTGATTTTCTGTCTTTGGCAGGCTTTAAATCACCCTGGCATGTAGTGTATTATTAAATTTTGTTGAAAATGCTTTAAACTCTCAAACATTTTTTAAAAATCATATTACTTAGATGCACATGTGAAAATATTTTAATCTTTGTTTTGTTTTTTTAAACACATTTTTTAAATTGTTTAAAATATGTTTTTATTGGTTTTTTAGAGAGAGAGGAAGGGGGAGAGAGAAATATCTATGTGAGAAACATCCATCAGCTGCTTCCTGCACGCCCCCTGCTGGGGACTGAGGCTGTCACCCTGGCATGTGCCTTTGCGGGGAATCGAACCAGGACCTCTTAGTCCGTGGGACTGCTCAGTCCACTGAGCCACACTGGCTGGACTAATCTTTGTTTTTTAATGAAACACCAAGCTGGAGTTCTCATGTCTATATCTTTATTTAATAAATATTTATTGTCTTTAGAGAGGCAAGGAGTAAAGAACAACAGGGAAGAAAAGAAAACTAAGCACTACTCTTTTATAGCTCAGTTCAAATTAATAACACTAGTCTACCTGTCTAAGCACAGTTTACATTTTATGAGGATTTAACCTAAAACCAGTGTATTATCATGTTATCTAACTACAGTTCACTTTTTCAAACATTGTATTAAAGCTGATTCTTAAGCTCCTTTCCTGTTTTCTTCTCCTCCCCCTTCTCTCCCCCTTCTCTTCCTCTCCTCTTCTTTCGTGCTGGGGAAAGAACACTAAGCTAAGCGCTGGACAGTTGAGCTCTGGTTATTCTTCTGCCCTTTTTTTTTGAGGCTCTGTGATCTTGGCTAAGTCAGTGAGCCTCAGTTCCTTCTTTCAAATGGGGATAATAATTCTTGCCCTGAAACAGTGAAATAAGGTAAGGTACAGTCGATTTTCCTCATTAGCAATAATTAACACAAACACTAAATTAGCTAATATAAAAAATTCTACAAAGTCACCACAAACACTGAATTAGTGATTAATGAACCATTGCTCCTAAGGGAAATACCGGGTTAGGTTCCTATGAGCCTATGGTCACTATACAACATTTTCATCAACTGTCAATACAGAACTTAGTTTTATGTGTGTTTCAGTTTAAAGACACCTTATTTAATATATATTGTTCATTACATTGAACTCACAGACACACCATTGACTGAACAAAGCTTATCTAACATATATTTTCTTCATAAGGCACATTAGTCTTCTTATGCTTAGGAATAATGCACAGCATGGCACACCATTCTTGAGGGCTATTTTAAACAGTGAAATCACAAAATAGGAAAATATGATCATGAAAAGGACACTTGTTTATATAGTGAGAAAGTTGAAACAAGGCAGAGCATCCATCCACCACTGCAGAGAACATGCACATCAGGTGACTCCAAGTTTTTGCCTGTAAATATCCACAACTGATGACAAAAATGCCACCAGGCTGAATTTGGGGACTGCAAATAAATTTAGGCAGGCAGGAGGATTTGCAAATATATAACCTGTGGATAATGAGGATCGGCTGTATGTGAATGTACCTTGTAAACTCTTTTAAAGAGCAGTATAAACTGCAGAATAAAAGTTATTTTGGGTAACATTTAACTCAGATAGAATAACTTTATCAATGTCAAGTTAATAAAGTAATAAATATATTATTTGAAAGTGACCAAAAGTTCTTAGCTCAGTAAAACTACAAAGACAACTATTATTGCAAATTCTTTGGCTCTTCAGCTCTCACATTTAATGCACAGTAGCAAGGACAACCACTGTAATTTGATGTTTTGCGTTTAGTGGTTAACATGGCTTTATGACCTCATTTCGGGGGGGAAACATTCCTTATGTATTACCAAAATGTTATGTTTTCAAATATGAGACATTCATATGGAAACATTTTGATCTTAACTAGTGGTGTAAATGCTGTTCTTGGATTTTTGGTACCATTTTATGTTGCAGACCAAGTACAAATTGACATTTTTCAAGCTGGTTTTGGTTAACTCCTTAATGTGGAAATTGGAACTTTCCAAGGCAATAACCTCTGTAAAATACCACTATGGATTATCAGTATGTTATGCTGTTGACAGAAGTACAAATGGAAAACACACACATACCTATTGAAATTTCCTCTAAAATAAAATGGAAATGACCTGGGTGGCCTAAAGGACCTTATACTGGAAGTTATTTTCTTATTTTGAGATAAAATACTAGAATTTTGAATATTTTTATTAGTTAGGAAAGTCAGATTATGTGTATTTTTGTCCTTTGAAATAGCCATATTTCCACTGCTTAAAAAGCAGGCTGCTAATCAGGTAACCTACGTGGACATATATCAGTGTCAGAGTGGCCATTTGGCAGCAGAGTCTCTCAGAAACTCCAATTAACCATGTAAATATATTTCATAGCATCACATCTCACTTTGTCAGAACCCTGCTGCCTTTATATCATTAACATAAATGCAGGTGCAAATAGCATTTATGTACTTTGATAGAAAGCAGTTGGAGACATTTCACTGTGGGGCACAACACTTTTGGATTGTATACATCTGTTCAAATAATGTATCCAGCTCCAGTGACATGAGCACAAGCATGGAAACATCTGCCCCTGAGACCACTTTCCATATAACAGATGCTTACATCTTTATTTAGGCAGATGGTTGGTGTGATGAGTTGAGCAGGAATAAAAGCAAAGAAGTTTGATGTTACAAGCCAAAAATATAGGTTAGGCATTTTATGTTTGTAAAGGCCTAATACTATTAGGAATAGAAATTAACAAATCTGGTGATACTTTTAATAGAGTAAACATATTGTTCTTGTCTTTAAATTAATTAGCACCAAAATCCTAAAAACGGTACTGAAATTCCAACATCCGACTTACATTAGAAGCAGCAACTTACAATTATTTTTGTTTTGATAAAATAATTTAAAATTTTGAATGCATGTTGATAATAGTCTCTTAATACATACTCTATTTAAAAATAAATAAATAAATAAGAATATTGCAGTATATACTATACTGCCAGGAGAATCTTGTGATGATATTTCTTAAAATTGAGGGAAAAATAAAAATGTCATTAGTTAAAATATAATTTGAGATATTTCATGACTATAAATTCAAATTAAATAAAATAAATATCTGAAGCATTGAATATTTATAAGATTTTTTGTCAAGCGTTTTATTATTTAATATGTACTCTAACATTTCCCACTAGTGACATTTTAATTATAACTGACTTTTATTAGCATAAATTGCCTTTACAAACTTTATTATCAAGACTGTCCTATGGGTCTGCTGTATAATATTCTCAAAAGAAAACAAATGTGAAAAAATTAAAAACTTACCAAATGCAAGGCATTTCCAGATTTTATTTTCTATTCTCATTCACACACACAGTAAAAAAAATATAGAATCTCAGAAGAACTGGGATATTTGATTTTATGTAGTTTAGCAACTTTCAGAATTGTTTTTGTTTCAGGACCCTTCACACTTAAAAATTATTGAGGATCCTAAAGAACATTTGTTTGTGTCAGTTATATCTATTGGTATTTACCATATTTGAGATTATAAACTGAAAAACATGTATTTATAAATCCAGTTTAAGGTAATAAACCTATGTTAAGCTCATTATAGCTTAACATAAATAACATTTTATGTAAGTGGCTATTTTCTAAGACAAAAAAGTAGTAAGAAGACTGGCTTTTGACTTATGGTTTTTTTCAAATATTTTAAAAATCTGACTTCTTTGAAAATGGTTGAAGTCTCATTTCTAGTCCTGCATTTAGTGTGTTGCTCTATGTTGTTTATGCTGAAACATTTGAAAACAAAAGACCAACTTCATAGTTGCAGGAGAGTATTTTCATAGCATTTTCAGATAATTGTGAATATTTTTCTTTGATACTACACCAAAACATGTTAGATAACTATAACTGTTTTTAATAGAATCAGGTAACTTCTTAAAGTTTAGTTGTACTGTGACATTTAAAGCCATGTCAGTGTACTTGTATTCTGTTATAATTTGGTCTGCCTTACACTGGAATGAGTCTTATACCCATCCATGTAGCATCAAGCATTGGTTATTTAGAAAATATTAGTTCACTGGGTTAAGTAGATCCTCTATATATGCATCAG